AATTACAAAGCTTCAAAAAAATCCTACAATTTTAAATAGTTTAGGGATACTCCAATTCAGCAAAAATCTGAAGTCCGTGCAACTCTCAGAGAGAAAAAAAGGGGCATAAAACCTTTTTTTAAGGATAATTAGAGCCTGATGCCAGAACAGCATTTTCATGCCCAAAGCCCCATGCCGCTGCAGCCTGCCCATGCACCCAGCTATGGCAGGGACAAAACTGGGGAGCTCGGGTACGCATCCACCGATGCAGCTGGTCCCTTGGGGCCCCTTGCTCTCCCCCTGCGCCGCACCTCCGCCCGTGCATGCAGCATCGGAGCAGGGAGCCTGCGCCAGCCAAGGCTGCCAGGCATCGGGTAAGGGACAATTTATGCTGAGAAGCAACTAGAGATAATCAGAAATTCCCTGAGAAACTGAATTCAATCTTGAAACAATAACGCTAACTTTTCTAATCATAACTGTGTATTTTCCATTGCAGGAGAGACAGTGAAGCGCAGTTGCATAGTTAACCCCATAAACCCCTGAAAATTTCCCCTGTGTGGATTTAGGTCTGCTTTCTGACAATGAATAATTAGGCATCTCAACATAAAAATACATTTCTATTTTGTTACAGTATTCATTGGAGGTTTAATCACAGTTGTCAATGTGCTATTTCAGTGAATAATATTTTCATATTGAATTATTTTACAGTCCATACAGCACTAGGAAATATCTTAAGGTACTAACTGATTATTTAGATTTTATTTATTGTAGAGGAAAGGAATGACACTGAAAATATTGTATAAATAGCAAATACATTAAACAGCAAAGTCCCTACCTTGCATTATGAATTGAAATGACATTATTTTAAAACATTTGAAAAACATCATCATAATTATATGTTATCAACACAGAGACAGATTACCTATTATTTTACCATAATTAATTTGAGCTCAGTGCATTTATGTTGCTGTGTATGTCACTATCCATCAATATAATTATGAAATGTTAAAAATTGGGGGTTGAATCTTCAAGTTATTTTAATTGGCTGGGTTTTTTCTCTAAACCCACCGTTCATTTGTCTCCATCTTCAACGGCTGAAATTTTTAATTACAATTTACATTTCTGTTTTGTCTGTCCCCTAGGCCACATTCCAATCTCACTTGTGATGTTTTCGCACCAGGGCCTTCAAGGGAGATAAGCTTTCCCTCTCAGTGACCACAAGCTTATAACCAAGTTTATATTCTTTTCTTGCAACACCGTTGGGTTTTTTTTCACATCCTGTTGGTATGTTCTGTTCATTTAAGCATTTATACCTCTGGTTTCTATCGGTTTTTTCCTCTTTTAAACCTATCCTCCTCCACCTATTGTGAAAGGCAAATGAAGCACTAGATGGCATAATATTTTAGAGGGTTTTCTCTATGCCGGGGTTCGTTATCCTGCCTAGCTCAACTGATAACTCTCTTCCCACTACTTCAGTAGGTTTGGGTTGGAGTTTTTTTTCTCTGAGCTTGCAAGGTAGGACACGTTGCCCCTGTGTGATCTCAGATGATGGGGGGGTGGATGGAAGCTCTGTATGAAGGTAGAAGGCTACACATTTCTTGTTGTACATAAATGTCTGTCTGCAGGAAAGCACTGAGGCCACAGCTGTCCAACACAGTGCCCGGGAATGCTTGTCTCCAAGGCTCTGATGAGGCCTGACTTTTTTATGTCACTGTCTTATTTTTTTCTTTCTCTCTCATGATTGACATTTGTCTTTTCTGGGCCTTGTTTGCTTGCATTGCACTTGTAGGGAGCCTGAAGCACTGCAGTATTTTCACTTCAGTCAGGTTAAGGGTGACGAAGATTACACATGCATACTGATTTATGCCTTAAAGTCTGGAAATAGTGTCAAGTGTGATCTCAGCAGAGCGCTGCTCGATGACTCAAGTGCTCGGTACGGTGTTATACTCTCAGACATCAATCCTCATCCAGCAAAATGAAAACTCTCCGTCCAGAGCATCATTCAATAAAGTACTGATCTGTAAGTGTTACTAGTTATTAATAAGATAATAATGATGTTTTCAATGTTCACACCAAAGCCGGGATCAAGCCTTTGTCGGGCTAAGCTCCGCTGAAACACAAAGCAGCGAGCAGTGCCAGCCTCAGAGGGCTTTCACTGTAAACGTGCGCTTGATAACCAGGACCTCTGCGTGCCGTGTTGTGCACGTACTCGCGTGCTGCTGACAATGTTCCCCTACGAACCTCTAGTGCAAAGTGGTGATATGACTGTAAGGCCAATGTTTTTAAAGATGGGTCCTTACACTATTATATTTGGGAGTGCCGTATGTCAGGAGTTCTTGTAAAGAGCAGTGGATCTGAAGGTGGCTGTTATCCCAAAGACATGAGGCATGTTTTTAAATATTTCAAGCTCTGCATTACATTGAAGACAGTGCCTATTGACCGTTTTTTCTTCTTCTTCTAACCATATATGTAAAACAAAAGCAAAACAAAACCCAGAGAGGGAGTGATTTGACAGTTAATATTCCCTTAAGGTATAGAAGGCCAAGGACTTGAACAACAGGCGCCTGCATTCAAAGCTACTGGTTCTTCTCGTGCCGGGGACTTTCTCTCTCTCTGCTTTTAACCGCATGTAGCTGCCTGCACGTGAAAAATGCTTCCCAGCACAGACATTATCAAAATTCATATGTCCCTGTGAAAAGTATTCATTCGGCTCCACCTCCTCTTCCCCCCAATGACAAAAAACTGAAAATTTCCCAGCCAGGCTGTATTTGCAGTATGCTGGGAAATACCAGAGATGGGAAGAACAACGCAAGAGCTATCCAGGACTAAGCGCTTTCCTTCCAATTGCCTTCAGCCCTTGCCAGCACAGGGAACTAAGCCATTCAGTTTGCTACTGACCAAGCGCTTTTTGGAAGACAGCAGGAAGGAACGATGGAAGGGGTGGAGGGAATTCCTCTTTCAGACGGCAGTTGCAGCAGTACAGTTAGCTCTGAATCTTTTCCCGTAAGTTAATTTAACACATCTCGTTAACAGTGTCCAATTGAATAATGTAGCAAATGTTTCTAAAAGAGCTGGTAACACAGCAGACACGAAACCATTCATATTGGACTCGGTAGTGCAACCTCAGACCATCCCTGTATCAACTAAATACTGTTACCCTGACACCCAGTCTGAAAGAGCAAGCACATGGGTGCGCACGGCTGCGATTCTCTTTCCCAGCTGTGTTTGTTCTGGTAGTCAGAAGGGGACACAGAGCCTGCCTAAGTGTCATTACAGACCCTTCGGTAAGCGAAAATTCACTTTTAACAATACACAACGCCTATTCTTTTCTAATCAAGTAAAGCAGGCTTATATTCTAATGAAAAGGCATTAAACCCAGGGAGAAATCGATAAAAATAAGTTATGCTGTACTCCAAAGTACACCTGTGACTGCAACTATAATTGGTAGATAGACAGGCAGGCAGACACTCTGTCAGCTTTGGAAATGGGTCAGGGTGTTCTGGAAAAAACAGCAAAATGAGTTATAAGTCAGCCTTCAGTCCTACAGCTCTATCTATACTGTGGAAAAATAGATTCAAGTTGATTACTCTTACTCTAAGATTTAATTTCTTTTGGATATATTCCCAAAACAGTCCCATCAGCACTAACCATATTCTGTGCTTTACAGGTACTGGCTGTGTAGCCATGCTAACATAAAGCCATCTGTATTTCCAGAATCAATGTAAAATCCTTAATTTTTATTATTTGGGGGGGGAGGAGGGATTCTGAATAAATTTTGAAACTCCTAGTAATGTTCCACGTTCAATATGCATTGTGTGGAGTTTACTTGGTTTCCTTCTTCGTTAGTATTTTAATGTGTTAATCAAATTTTTAATCTAAAATTGGATTAAAATATACCTGGTGTCTTGAAGCAAGATAAATCTGATCCTTGCAGCTAGCACTATGATGTGCTATCGAACACAGTTAGCAGGTTTCAAAGTCCGGAACTAGGATTATCACCTTTTGTGTCTTATCTGGGTCCCCTAACAATCCCATGTCTGTGCTATATTGTTTTGGCAAAATGGGTCAACGGAAATGTCAAGCAGACACCGCTTTCCCAGGACAATAAAACTTCAGCTGTAATATGAACTGGCATTTGAAATTCTGGGTATGTTTAGTGCATACACAAACTATGCTGCATTTATTAATGAATACAGTTAACATCCACACAGCTCTAACACCATTCAGCGACAAAATCAAACTCGCAGTGAGAAAGCGGAATTAATAGTTTGTTTTCCCATTCGTGTTTGTCCACACTATATGATCTTCAGTTACCCACGTCAGCCCATTCTGCTCCCTCTGCAGCCGCTTTACCCCTGTATTGCCAGGTAAGCGTTCTCCTCCCCGCTACTGTGAACACCCCAGAGCACCGAAGAGATATCGGTGCCTAACAGAAGTCTGAAGGTAGCAGGACCTGAACTGGATGCAAAGCGCATGTAGGTGGAATGTGTCTGTCAGAGACTTCACCTGCCAAACTCTGCGTCTGTACTGACCACATGCAAATGGAGCTTTTTGTATCTTACAGCTTGGTGAAATTCAAGGAGCAAAAGGCAGCTACCTGAAGTAAAGGCTGTTTGACTTCCAAGTTCCCATTTTCTACCCAGTGTGTATGTATAATGCTGTGGGTCTTTCCTGAAGAACTGCGTTTTTAACATAGGGCAAAGCAACCTAACCTTCAGTGAGCTGGCACTCCAGAACGGCTGAGCCAGTTTGCTGCTGCAAAGCACTAAATGCACTTGGCACAAAACAAGTCAATCCCCCCTAAAAAGGGGTGTCATCTTATAGGAAAGAGTTTTCTCCAACCCTGGAGGAACACCATCTGTCTGTAATGCCCACTGAGGTCTACATCCAGAAGTGCAGTCAAATAATGGAGAGGCTTTCTAGTAACTTCAGAGGGTATCAGAGTCTTATTTGGCAGTATAAATTAAAAGATCTTGGGGTGAGCATGACTGAAGAAAAGGTTGAGGGCTTGTGGAGGACAAATGGCCGGTAAGAAGAGAAGTCTTGAAGAAGAAGATTGATAAAAAGAGCTGGAATATCAGCGTGGTTTTCTGACAATTACATCCATGCAACCAGTTTGGTTCTCAGCACAATTAGTGTTGTGATAGCGATAAACATTTTGCATGAAGACCAGTCATATGACCCCAAAGAAAAGGCCAAAACTTGAGGCTGGTTTTCACCGCTTCTACTAGCCCAAGGTTTAATCCCACCACCAGCCCTAACTTGTTGCCAAACTCCCGCAAGTGCTGCTAGACGAATTAAAGCTCTAAGTTAAGACACACGCCGCTGGGGGAAGGAGGGCTGAGGCAGGCTGAGGCCTCGGCCCCGCTAGCACGGCCATGCACACAGCGATGGCCCGCCTGGGGCAGTTCGCCTCTCACGGGAGGTGCAGACTTCGCATCGGCGGCCGCAGGGTTTAGTAATGGTGGCTTGGGCTTGTCAGGGATGGCCCTGCACAGGGCCTGCCCGCGAGGCCGGCGCGGGAGGCAGGAACGAGAGGTGGCTTCAGCCATGCTGAAGCGATGGGCGGCGGGAGCCCTCAGCCCGGCTGTTAAAGAGCAGCTCAAAAATCTTAACGGTTTTGATACCAGATGTGCTTTGTAAATAATAACAGGAACATTTAATCAGAGGAATGTATTGTTGGCACTCTTGGAACAAGGACACGCTGGAGCAAGTAGCCCCGAGGAGGGCACCTCACCAAGATGTTTTGGAAACATCCGAAACTCGGCAAGCAAACCCACGATCCCCGTCACCTTTATAGAATCATAGAATGTTTTGGGTTGGAAGGGACCCCTAGAGGTCACCCAGCCCAACCCCCCTGCAGGGAGCAGGGACACCTTTAACCAGATCAGGTTGCTCACAGCCCCGTCCAACCTGGCC